TTTGGGTTTGGGAATAACAAATATTTTTGCTTTCGCACACATCACTAAGGGAAATCTAAATTTAACAGTGCCCATGGTGGTCAGCAGCTGTTTGGCAGCAGAGGACTGTCCTCTGGGACTGTTGCAGAAAACATGAATATAATCCAGAAAACTGCTGGAGCACAGTACACTAATGTAATGATAAAACACACATAGATTAGATTAGAGCTGCATATGTCCAGAGAGGTTGAATCCTTTAAATCATGAATTTATGGACCAGAGAGAAGTCAGAAACTCACACCTAAACAAAAGAATAAAATGTATCCATAAAGACATGACAAGTGTGTGATAGCAATAACCCTCCACCATTATATGACACAAGAAAACCAATTTATGACACAAGAAAACTATTGGTGACACAAGAAAACCAATTTATGGTTCAAGAAAACCAATTTATGACTCAAGAAAAAATAAATATGATTTAAGAAAACAATTTATGATTCAAGAAAATAAATATGACAAAAGAAAACCAATTTATGATACAAGAAAATTAATTTATGACACAAGAAAAACAATTTATTATTAAAGAAAATTAATTTATGACACAAGAAAACCAACTTATGATTCAAGAAAACTAATTTATGACACAAGAAAACCAATTTATGACTCAAGAAAACCAATATATGATACAATAAAACCAATTTATGACAAATGAAAACCAATATATGATACAATAAAACCAATTTATGACAAATGAAAACCAATATATGATACAATAAAACCAATTTATGACAAAAGAAAACCAATTTATGATACAAGAAAACCAGTGTATGGTTCAAGAAAATGAGAATCTTCAGAATGGAAAGCAGTTACACTATGATGTGCCCATTACAAATTGTAGTTTGACTATTCCTGCCTAGTAAGCGACCTGTACCTTTTGTAGAGTCACCAGGCCTTCCTGTGTATTTGGTCAGTGATGACCGGAAGGTTCCCAGTCCATCTCCATCCAGAACTCGGTAGTCCATCTCAGAGTTTAGACCAATATCCAGATCCAGAGCTTTGATCTTAGCAACCACTGTGAAAACCATGGCAGACTCTGGAACACTGAACTGGTAACTCTCTGGAGAGACACAGGTACACACAGGTACAAACGCAGTGAAACAGTGTTTCAATGATATCATATCTACAGTTCAGAGGTCAAACTCACTGCGGGGGAATGAGGCGGGTTGTCGTTGACATCAGTCAGCATCACAGTGACAGAAGTAGTGCCTGACAGACCCCCCATCTGACCAATCATGTCCTTGGCCTGGACGACCAGTAGGTAGTTGTCACGTATCTCCCGATCCATGTCAGGAAGAGCCGTCCGCACCACACCTGCAGGACAGGTGAGAGTCAAGTTCAAGAGGAACGTTCAAACCACAGTCAATAAATGACATCTAAAACTAATGCCATCAGTATGCAATATTTTAAAGTACATTCCAGTAAAGTGACACAACTGGCCTCAGATTACCTCATGTTAAACTTATAGCACTTGACTCCGTGAGAGAGCCCCGCATGATGGAATATTTCTGTCGTTATAAACTGTACAAACAGTGGTAACAGACTAGAATAATTACTTAGCATTACAAGAACATATTTAGATTTGTTTGAAAACTATTTCTCAGATCAATCTCAGTTTGTACATGTCAATTATGAGTCCTCCATGCCTCCCTATATGCCCTCACAACCCAACACAGTTTTGGCAGATATCTGTCTATTCAATCTGGATCTGGATCTGATCCAGGTTTCTGCCTGTTCAACATGAGTCTGGTTCTGATGCAGGTTTTTTGCCTGTTTATCATGAGTCTGGTTCTGATCCAGGTTTCTGCCTGTTCATCATGAGTATGGTTCTGATCCAAGTTTCTGCCTGTTCATCATGAGTCTGGTTCTGATCCAGGTTTCTGTCTGTCCATCATGAGTCTGGTTCTGATCCAGGTTTCTGCCTGTTCATCATGAGTCTGGTTCTGATCCAGGTTTCTGTCTGTCCATCATGAGTCTGGTTCTGATCCAGGTTTCTGCCTGTTCATCATGAGTCTGGTTCTGATCCAGGTTTCTGTCTGTTCATCATGAGTCTGGTTCATGTGTTCAGGTTGTGTTCAGGTGTTGTGTTCAGGTTGTGTTCAGGTGTTGTATTCAGGTTGTGTTCAGGTGTTGTATTCAAGGTTGTTCTGGCAGGCCGTCAACCAACGATCTCGAGGAGCCTAAGAGAGCTCAAGAGCTCTCAGGAAAGTAGGTGGTTAGTGACTGAGATTTACAGATAGATACATGCAGTAATATGATGTACTGTATATGCACGAGAGAGAGAGAGAGAGAGAGAGAGAGAGAGAGAGAGGAGCTCAAGGTGCCAGTTCCCCCGGTAGTCTAAGCCTATAGCAGCATAACTAAGAGCTGGTCTACACCAGCACTAACTATAAGATTTATCAAAAAGGAAAGTTTTAAGTCTATTCTTAAAAATACAGACTGTGTCTGCCTCCCGGACCCCGGCTGGAAGGCGGTTCCAGAGGAGAGGAGCCCGATAACTGAAGGTTTTACCCCCCATAGTACACTTGGAGACTGTAGGTACCACCAGCAGGCCTGCACTCCGGGACCGCAACGCTCTCGAGGGACAGTACGGCACTAGTAGCTCCTTCAGGTAGGATGGTGCCTGGCCATTTAGAGCTTTGTAGGTGAGAAGAAGGATCTTGAATTCTATTCTAGACTGTATAGGGAGCCAGTGCAGAGAAGCCAGGACAGGAGTGATGTGGTCCCATTTCCTGGTTCTGGTCAGTACACAAGCTGCAGCGTTCTGGACCAGTTGAAGAGTCTTTAGAGATTTGCCAGAGCACCCTGACAAAAGAGAGTTACAATAATCCAATCTGGAGGTAACAAATGCATGAACTAGTTTTTCTGCATCATTTTGCGACAGGATATTCCTGATCTTGGATATATTACGAAGGTGAAAATAGGCTGTTCTTGAAACTTGACTGATGTGAGAGCTAAAAGACATATCTTGATCAAAAAGAACTCCTAGATTCCTAACAGTGGTGCTAGATGCCAGGCTGATGTCATTAAGGACAGTCAAATCACTAGAAAAAGTCTCTCTGAGATTTTTAGGGCCTAGCACAATAACTTCAGTCTTGTCTGAGTTAAGTAGCAAAAGAATTCTGGTCATCCAGGTCCTAACGTCCTTAAGGCACGTTTCTAGCTGACATAACTGACTGGTGCCATCGGGCTTCATTGATACATAAAGCTGAGTATCATCTGCATAACAATGAAACTGTATGGAGTGTTTCCTCATAATATTTCCCAGAGGAAGCATATATAATGTAAAGAGAATTGGTCCAAGCACTGAACCTTGTGGGACTCCATGGCAAACTTTAGTGTGCATAGAGGACTCATCATTAACATGTACAAACTGAGATCGGTCTGATAAGTAGGATTCAAACCAACTTAAAGCAGTCCCTGTAATTCCAAGCAAATGTTCTAGTCTGTACAATAGGATCTGATGGTCAATGGTGTCAAAAGCAGCACTAAGATCTAACAAGACGAGCACAGAGAGAAGTCCCCTGTCTGAAGCTAGAAGTAGATCGTTTGTAACTCTAACTAGTGCAGTCTCAGTGTTATGGTGGACTCTAAATCCTGACTGAAACTCCTCAAATAAACTGCTGTCATGGAGAAAGTCACACAGCTGTTTAGCTACCACCTTCTCCAGGATCTTCGAGAAAAAGGAAGGTTGGATATAGGCCTATAGTTAGCTAGAGTTCCTGAGTCCAGAGTAGGCTTTTTAAGTAGAGGTTTGATTACCGCTACTTTAAATGCCTGTGGTACATAGCCTGCCAGTAGAGACGAATTGATCATAACTAATATAGAGGTGCTAACTAAGGGAAAACTTCCTTAAACAGCTTGGTTGGGATTGGGTCCAAAATACAGGTTGACGGTTTCGACGCAGAAAAAATGGGATATAGCTCTGAAAGGTTGATTGGAGAAGAACAGTCGAGACTAATATCTGGTCCTGGAACTGTCTCTGCCGTATCAGACGTATTCGCACCAGGTAAGGGCAGGAGGTTACCAATTTTGTCTCTGATGTCTAAAACTTTGTTGTTGAAAAAACTCAGGAAGTCATTACTGGTGAGGGCTGAATGAATACAAGGCTCAATGGAGCCATGACTCTCTGTCAGCCTGGCTACAGTGCTGAAAAGGTATCTAGGATTGCCTTTGTTTTCCTCAATTAGAGAGGAGTAGTAGGCAGCTCGGGCGTGACGTAGAGCCTTCATATAGCTTCTATGACTATCCTGCCAGAAAAAACGAGATTCTACCGTTTTGGTCGAGCGCCATATTCTTTCAAAATTTCACGATGTTTGTTTTAGAGTACGGGTTTCTGAGTTGAACCATGGAGCCACTCTCTGCCGTTTGATAACCTTCTGTTTCAGGGGAGCAATCGAATCCAGAGTAACTCTCAGTGAATCCACTGCACTATCAACAAACTGATCTAGCTGAGAGGGACTAAAGCTATCATAAGAGTTTCCAACTGGGTTGAAACACGGTACTGAATCAAAAACAGCTTAAATGGCTTCCTTAAATCTAGCAACAGCACTATCCGACAAACTTCTAGAGAGCACACCTCTTCCAGGTAGAGGTAATTCTGGAAGGACAAAATCGAATTGTTAGCTGGTTAGCTGGTTAGCTTGTTAGCTTGTTAACTGGTTAGCTTGTTGTACAAAGTGGAGATAGTGCTGCATTAATAACATCCACATCATGATTGAAACGTTGACCTTTGACCTGTCAACACCGGAGAAAAACTTTATTCGTCTCACATCGAGCCTCTGAGTGCACCACACATCTGTTTGACCACCTTCAAAATAAAAGCGCCACACATCTGTTTGGCCACCTTCAAAATAAAAGCACCACACATCTGTTTGACCACCTTCAAAATAAAAGCACCACACATCTGTTTGACCACCTTCAAAATAAAAGCATCACACATCTGTTTGTCCACCTTCAAAATAAAAGCACCACACTTCTGTTTGTCCACCTTCAAAATAAAAGCACCACAATTCACCTTGTCCAGTTTTATAATAAAAGCACCACGATTCACCTTGTCCAGTTTCAAAATAAAAGCACCACGATTCACCTTGTCCAGTTTCAAAATAAAAGCACCAGGTATAATGTTTACAAGGAGAAACTAAAACAGAGGATTAAATATTTAACGGATAGCTAGCATTGTGAATGGTGCGTCACTGTTTCTCCTCTAGCTCATTCTGATGTAGAGGTCGGGTTATTTGAACAATACAAGTAAAAAAAGTTTCAATTCTTACTTATTGTGTGTCCCTTTTAACAGTTGGAGGGATCGATCCCTGGGACTCGCTGGAGGTGCCAAGCAAGGCGGCCATGTCTGTGACTGTTCATGAGAATCGAAAATCCCGCACCAGCACGGGCTCCATGAACATCTCACTGTTCCACAAGCCATCACACCCGGACAGCGTGCTGACTCACCTGAACTCCATGAGGAAGCAGTGCATGTTCACTGACGTCACTCTGTGGGCTGGAGACAGATCTTTCCCCTGTCACAGGTAACCAATCAGAGACTAGAGAGGTTCAAAACCACCAATGATGTGATCAGAGACTAGAGAGGTTCAAAACCACCAATGATGTGATCAGAGACTAGAGAGGTTCAAAACCACCAATGAGGT